AAACATCAATGTAATTGTGATGTATTAATGTGCTCATATCTTCCAGGTATACAAGTGTGTAAGGGAGAAGCTTTAAAAGAGCATTATATCAAGCTGGTGTTCGGAAGTTGTATGGTAATTTTAAGCTTAAAAAAACATATTGGGAATTTATTTACCTGTTATCAATAAGATATGTAAAGTTTTATGTTACTTTTTACATTGGGGAACAATTTAAATGTATTTTTAAGTCAATAAGAGCCTAATCTATGTAAAGGTTAATATTATAAAGCACAAAGTATTTTTCTCCTTTCCACAAAAGGTTAAAAACTCTCAGCCTTTCTTTAATTCATGTTTTAAATGTGATATCATATGGTGTTATCTAATATCCATGTGACCTCAAACAATTGATGTAAACTTTGTAAAATGATATTTAAAAGACAAAGATCAGCTTTAGAACTAGAACACTTAAGATTTATGAAGAGCCCTGCCTCACCTGAGAATAGGCTCTGTGTCCCATCTTACTACATGTGAGAATGACTACTAAAGCAGTAGGCCAGATTTTAGTTCATTTAAAGTTGTGTTCAAAAGTTGTTTTTCTGTCAAGATTACTAGGATCTCAAACAGGGGATATAATGTATAACCCAGCCAAAATTCAGGGTAGCTATTATATGAACTAAATATGTTTTTACTCTTGATAATTTTATTTTTTAATTTCCTTATAAATGACCTAAAGATTCCCTGTTAGTGTTTTGCAGAGGTGTTGCTTTAAGAACACAACCTGGGTTAAATTTAAGATAATAAGCCATCACCTATAGGAAAATACAGACCCAATAAATAAATAAATAAATAAATAATTGTAAAGTTTTAGACATTAAAGCCCAGTACTCTTAATATAAGGCTGTTAAATTTTATCTGATGGATGTTTAAGTTTTAAAATTAAAGTTAAATTAAAAGGGCCAAAAAAAAACAATATTTGGCTCTTGCCCTCTGAGTCAGTCTGAATCCGGGGAACAGGGGACTTCTCTAAAGAGCTTTGCAACTCTGGGCCACATAACCTCCCGATCAGGGAGACTAATGAGACCACTGGAGAACAGAAAGCCAATCAGTGCATTTGCTATGAAGAGGAGGGTCATCAGAGAAGTGAGACATCCTTGATGCTTCCGAGGGAAGCCACATGGTCAAGCAAGACCTGGACTCATCCTAGCACAAATTGCACTAGCAGAACTGAGAAGTTTCCCCAGAAATGACTCCCATAAAAACTCAGCTGATTATTAACAATAGATAAAAACAAAAGTCAGTTTGACTGCTTCATCTTAAACACTTAGCAAAGACAGTTAAAACCAAAACACAGCCATTCCTGGGCATTTTAAAAAATAATAATAATAATAATAATAATTTTTATTATTATTATTTAAGATATATACCTTATGTTAGCCCCCCAAAATAAGTAAGACTGGAGGTTACAAAGAAGGATTCTCAGACAGAAATGCCTGATAACTATAAAAATAGATTATCAAGAGGAACTGCCAGAGTAGTTTTTTAGTTGAAGGCCTACAGATATTCCTAACCTCCACAGGTAGGCTTGGTGTTTGCTGGTATGATTATCCAGCCCTGAATAACAGAATTAAAGGTTTCTCTATTAGACACAGAGGTCATACTAGTAAAAGGATTTTCAAGATCAGATGACATTAAATTATTAAACTGTATCTTATGGGGAAGGACATCTGTAACACTAAAGTTAAATGTTGTGTTTACATTCCTGATAACTTTAAAAATGTTAAAGATTTACATTTTTATATAAAGGCTTTGTCCACTCTGGCCTTATTATGGAGACAGCTTCTCCTGGTAAATATATATACATATATATTAACTTCTCAGCCCTCACACCTCCTGGTGGGAAGACTTCTATTATACAGTGACAAGTTCCAGCTGCTGCAACATTTATTCAGTACTCATGGATTTTTTTCTCTCATAGAAGCACCCATCCCCAGATGACTTTATAACCTGTTCTTCCCCAACCAGACTTCAAACTGAACTGACTTCTAAAAGGAAACTCACATCCCTCACCCTCTCTCAGCTCAGAAGAAGCCAAAACAAGCAACTCCCCTCTTCTTACGATAATGGAGCCAAAAATAAATAGACAGTCAATATAAATAATTAATTAAGTCGGGTCAAATCAGGGAGACCAGATTTGGGTGACTTCAAAAAAAAGTTGGAGACTGTTACCTGAGGGATTAAAATTCCCTCAGTGCTCTTCCCCTACCCTATCAAAGATTTGAAAGGGACACATAAGAAAAGGGGGGTACGATAGACCCAACCTGATCTTTTCTTAAAATTGGGAGCCATCTCGCCACAAAGCCATGAACAAATAAGTTTGGTTTTTACTGCAAATTCTGAACCTGCTTGGAATGTCCGCCCGTGCCTTGAACTCATCCATACCTGGCGCTCTCTGGCCAGATAGCAGCCCTCTCTGAAACTTTAGTGATGCCTCATTAATCTTGGCCTTCCCTGGAAAGATAACAACCCTCTCTGAGGCTCTAATGACCTTCATAAATTCTGATATCAGGACCAGCAAAAACGTAAACTAGCCTCTGTGTTATGCTCCTCAGAGTTTTGTTATCTGTAACCCCCCCCCCTTTGTGTAACTTTCTGGGCTATAAAGCTGGGCTGCAAGAAAGATGCAGGGCTGTCTTGTTCCCATGGTTTTTGGTGGGAGAGGCAGCCTGGCTGGTTGAAATAATAAGCTTGCTTTAATTTGATTTTAATTGCAGTCAGTGGTCTTTTCCTGTGTCCTAGTCTAACAGGTTTTCCTCATGGGGATGGATGTCCCATCCACTCTTGCTGCCCAGCAATGGGATCTGTGGTCATTTCTCACTTCCCATAGCCAAAGATACCACCAAATTCTCCGATTCTTATCTGACTGACTCCTGATACTAGTCTACTAGTCAATGAATCTACAAAAAAAGAAAGAAAGAAAAAGAAAAAGAAAATCATTTTTTCTTCTTTCTGTCTTTTTTTAGTATCTATCCTCATGATGAGGCTCTTTGTCAGGGAAAAGAGTCCAGAGAACATGCAATCAACTCAGTGGCCTGTCAATACACAGTTGGCTGAGAGGAGCACAGAGCTGAGGAAGCCAGAACCCAGGCCATCGGAGGGCATCCATCTTGTAGGCAAGTTTCTATTTCATCCAGTCAGAAACATGTTTTAGACTTTAAAATCTCTGAAATTGAACTTTATCTTCAATGATGAAGCCTTCTACTGGATACAACCCAGTAGCCACATCACAAAGCAGCACCATGACCTGTGAACAGTGCGGCACTTATGGCAATCAGGACAGTGGTCCAAAATCAGGCTGAGATTAGAATCACCTGGGAAACCGATTAAAATTAATGAGGGGTTCAACTCCCCACTGGCTGGGGCCAGAGGCTCTCTTAATTCCCTCTACTTGAGTGTCTCCCAGCCTGGCTTGCCTGGGAGAAAGAGGCCAAGCAACACAAAATCATGGTGTTTCTATAACCTAATTTTTTTAAGTGACAGTGCCTTATCCTACTTATATTCTATTGTTAGAACCAAATCACTGTGATCTGTTACCCCCCCAAGGGGAGAGCAATTACAAAAGGGGGTGAATATAGGGAGGTAGAACTTTCAGGAGCCATCTAGGATGCTGCCTACCACAAATGTCAAGTTTTTCATAACACTTCCTCGACATCTGATTACACTTAGGGTGAATTTTTTTTTCTGTCCTATGAAAAATGTATAAAAGGATGCAGTTTTTCAAAATTCCTTCAGAGGGACTAAGGATGTGGCTCAGTGGTACAGTGCCTGCCTACCAAAATTCTTTTAGAAATAAGCAAAATATATTAAGGCCAATGACTGGCTGAACTGTTCAATCAGTGGGTCCTGTCCTGCAGGCAGACCTCACTGGGATCCTGGCAAGGGGTCTACCAGCAGCCAGGAAAGAGTGAGGATGCTTTGGACAGTGAGAAAAGCCACCGCCCCAGAGTGGAAGCTCCTATCCAGGTAGGTAGAAAATGCAGGGGAAAGTTAAGTGAGTCTAGATTCTGTGGGCATCAAAGGCCAGACAGTGGCGTTCAGACTTGGTAAGGAAGGAAATGAGGACACTAGTGGGACTAGGATAGAGGAAAAGGATAAAAAGTGCAGTTGTGTGAGGACAAGTGTGACCAGAGCATGGAGGCTGAAACAGGAGAGGAGTAGGCAGGAAGTAAGAAGGGCTTGAGGGAGTGGCAGGAACCAAGGGGAGGGAAAAACAGTGGCCTGCTTAGAGGGTCTTAAAGGGTCCAGAGGAGAGGATGCAATGATACACGTGGTGGGGAATGGATGCTGAGAAATGGACACTAATTACAGATGGGTGGTCATTTAGGATGGTTTGACTCATGGCTTATGGGTTTTCACCTTTAGAATGGTGCAAAAGCGATTTGCATTCAGTGGAAACTGTACTTTGGATTTGGAGTTTTGACCTTTGCCAGGCTAGTGATATGTGATTGGAAATCGGATGCTGAGCAACCAGCAGGCCAGCTCCCCTGTCAGGCCTCTAGGTTAAGGGGAAAAACAATGAATAACTGCTCCCTTAAATGTTTAAGTTTGAAGCACACTGAGGCAGGCATATAAAGGAGGGTTTATTTAAAAAGGGGTAATGTAGACTTCTCTTGGGAGGGAGAAGGGGGACATGGCTGATATCCTGGTATTCCAAGAAGTCAGGTGTTCTGCCCTTTTGATATGCCCTAGGCTTCCTTTGTTTTCTTTCCCTCTTCCCCTCATCTTTCTCCTTCCTACAATGTGACTAGGATGGCCAGGAAAGTGGGATGGCCAAAAGGTGGGAAACAGGTGTGCTGAAGGGGGAAGGGCAGGATGGTGCAGCCCAGGACACATTAATTAACAACTTTATAGCTCCCTGTAGGGAGGGGCAATTCCTGACACAGGTTACCTGAGCAACGGGTTGGAGCAGGGGCAGGTTCTTGATAAGGGTGGAGGAAGGGCTTTGAAGGAATTAACATTTCAGTCCTGCAGGCCACAGTCTCCAACTTCCTGGGACTCACTCAAAATGGGCCTTGACTCTATAGTGACTGCCTATCTAATTCTGGCTTCAGCAGAGCAAATGCAGATAGAAATAGAAGATAAACATATGAAGATCAGAGAATCAATTTAGGAAATACAAAATAGGATTAACTGGATTTCCCAAAAGAGGTTATGTAATACCAGACTCGTGGGACCCCAATAGACCTCCAGGAGCCAAATCCGATGCAAGCACACAAGAGTCTTTATTGCAAGCTTGAGCCTGGACTCACATCCGTTTCCGACACAGCGGTCACAGGGAGTGAGTCCCGGTCCTTTGTTCAGTGAGATTTTATAGGTTTTGGGGGATACTCTATGTGTCACAACATCACACAGCAAATCATTTCACACCACAGGAAATCAAACAACAACTCTTAACATTGATTAGCACATTCACTGGCTGGAACAAGTTGGGGAGGGGTGATTGGTTAGTACAAGAGGGGGATTCCTTTGAACTGATTGGTTTAGGCCATGAGGGGTGTATGTGCTAAACTACATGGGTTCCCAACATGGTATCAACCACCATAAACTACTGGGGGGTCAGCTGGCATCCCAGGTATTTTCCCTGTCTCATGCTGATTGGTGGTTGCTATGGGGTTGCTATGGGTCCTCACCTAACCTAACTGAGTCAGGGACACTTGGCACTGCAGATCTCTCCTGTTATTTGCAGACAAACAACTCAGCAGGATGGGTGTGTGCCTAGAAAGGCTCTGTGGGTTTTTCTAAGGACAAGGGTCACGCCTCCTTCCTTAGGACAGGCCTTGAGGTAGAAGCTGATGATATTTATTTTCAAAAATGGAGTCACATCAGTTTCTCAGTTACAGGTAAAAATAATAAAATTAAAGAAATATTATTATTATTTATTTTTAAAAAGGACAGTCTGGAACTGAAAGACACACACTGCCCAGTGAAAAACCTCTATTCAATGGCCTGCACAACAAATAAAGAAAATAAAGAACCAGACCAAGGATCAATATCATGAAATCATCGAAACTGCAGAAATAAAAAGAGGATCCTAAGGTTTCCAGAGGAAAAAGAAAAAGGGCTAGGTGTGATATGAAGAGCCAGGAAACAGAATAGGATATCTTAGCATCTCTATTGTTTGCTGAAGGCAACAAAGCAATTCTGAAGGAACAGAATTCTTAACTTAGATTTTTAAAATTTCTAGCCACATTAGCCAAAAAAAAAAAAAAAAAAAGTGAAGGGTACACTAAAGATATTTTCAGACATGCAAAGACTTAAAAATACATATCTCATCTATATCCCATATTATATATCTGTATTGCTCATATACTTAGGAAATTGCAGGGGCATATGCTCCAGGAAATGAGAGAATATCCCCAAGGAGAAAGACACAGGGTCCAGTGTAACATCTGAGTCCTTGCTTCCCCCAATGCTGAAGTATAATGCCAGGGAAGCGTGCCAGGGCAAGTGAAGAGTGGAAAGTGGGGGGGCTTTATTAAAGAACAGCAGAAAGGACACCCCCAACCCCCTAGGAAGAAGGGGACCTGAAAGGTGGAATCCTTTCCAGAGGAGGTCTTTCCTCTTTTATATCTAAGGTTTTCTTTTGTCCTCCCACATTCCTGTCCTTGATGAAGGTGGGGATGCCAAAAGGTGGGAAACAGGTGGACCTATGGGGCAGGGAGGAATGACCTGGGCAGGAAGGGCCTAGGGTGATTTGATTAACATCTCCCTGTTTTGCTGGGAGCTGCTTTATTAACAGTTCTTTAGGACAGAATTTCCCAGGTGTCCTTCTGGTTTCCTGGGCTCAGATCAGACTCCATTTTCTTTATTGGACTCGATATTAGACCCGATTTACCTATCTACACTAACTACCCATCTTTAAATCTGGCTTCACCAGGATCTGGTGGATTTGAACATGACAGACATCTGGGATGAGAGTTGTGCCATAGAGGTTTATCTATGATATTGCCCCAGACAAGTAAAAATAGTTGAAAAATTACATAAACAAATGAAAGCAATTGGGGGGGGTGGAAATCATGTATTCACTAAACAATTCCCTCATTATTTAATTTCTATACAGAATAATGTAAAAAAAATGCACTAAGGATTGTCTCTGTATAATAAGGCAGATCTCATTTGTGTCCAAGAAATTCCTCCCCAACAGTCATCCCTAATCTCTTTACATTAAACTTCCCATTTGGGAGGCTGGGGCTATAGTTTAGTGGTAAAATATTTGCTTGAAATGCATTAGGCCTTGGGTTTGACCCCAGGAATAGAAAAAGAAGGAAAAGGAGGAGGAGGAGGAGGAGGAGAAAAGGATAAAAGGCAACTATGGAAAAAAATCAAGTCCCATTCTTCAAAAATAGCAAGACAAGGTGGGTGTGTGGCACAGGCCTGTAATCCCAGGTGCTAGGCATGCTGAGGCAGGAGTATCGCCCCTGGGTTCAATCCCTGGTACAAAAAAAAAAAAAAAAAAAAAAGAAAAGAAAAGAAAAGAAAAGAAAAAAGCCCCACAAAAAACCAAACCAAAACCAAAACAGAGACAAGAACATTATTTATCAGCTACCTGCTGTGAATGGCTTTATGTTAAGTACCTTTCAGAAACCAGAGGAGTATGTTCATGACAATGCAGATGATCATGTTTAAAAAAAAATTATTCAGATATGAGAATTTTATAGGGAGCCATAACATTTCCATATACAAAATCATGTGACAGTGAGCATTTCCAAAGTCTGAATGTTCTCTCCATAGTTCAAGTTTGCCACTCATTGTTAAAATATCCTTATACCAAAGCAAGTATTGTTTCTCAAAAGTATTTGCTAAGAAATTTTCTCTTACAGCTACTCATTATAATAAAAATCATCAATTTGGAACTCTAATCTTTTTTAAAAAACATTTTTATAGTTTTAGATGGACACAATACCTTTATTTTATTTATTTTATGTGGTGCTGAGGATCAAACCCAGTGCCTCACGAGTGCAAGGCGACTGCTCTGAGCCCCAGCCCCAGCCCGGAAAGTCTGATCTTTTTGACAAAAATATTAAATGACTATTTTAAAACTTCATATGGTGGAAAAAATCAAGCTTTCACAAAAATAGAGCAAATGTATAAAAGACACTGTCCATCACCTGTTAGGTTGGTGGCAACTTGGTGGCGACTTAGTGGCAACTTAGAACAAAGCAGCCAGTGCCAGAAAAGAACATCAATCAGACGCCTGTCAATCAGCCAGATCTCCTGACTAACGCCTGTCAATCAGCAGGACCCCCTGGCCAATCCTGGAGTTCAGTCAACTCCCCTGACCAACTCCAAGGGGGCAAGGGACACTAGAGACACCTTTTCCTGTCCCAAGCCCTTCCCTTCCTGCTGTAAGCCCCATAAAAGTCCAGTCCCGTCAAGCTTCCACACGGTTTCTCCTCAGACCCTTCCCCTGTCCCCTCTGTGGGTCTGATAGAGTTCCGCCGGGAGTGATATCTCAATAAAGCCTGTTCAGAGGGCCTTTTAAATCTGCCTCCTTTCGCCATTGCCTGCCCGGACTGATCTGACACTAACTTCAACAATTTTTGTTTTATCTCTAACAGCTCTTTATATTCAAGTATTTTAAAGTGAATCCCAGAAATCATGTAATCTATCTGTAAATACTTAAGTATTATATATAATGAATAAATATTAAGATAATCACAACATCCACCATAGCTAACAAAGTTAATGAATTTCTTCTTAAATAATTAAAATCATTTTTTAAAAGATGATTTGTTGTATGGAAGTATAGTTCACATACAATTTAATTCTGGATGATTTGATAGCAGCTAATATTTACCGACGTCATTTAATCTTGAGAACATTCTTTTAAAGTGATCGTGGTCATGAACTTTATAATGACACTTTGGTCCCTGAGCACCACGGATAGGACAATGGTGCCTAAGATGATAATGGAGCTGAGAAACTCCCATGGCCTAGTGATGTCACGGTTGTGACGCGACACTTTTCCCCTTCAAATCCCTCTTCTCCCGGGGCCACACTGCAACCGCCATCGCTCCCGGTGAACTTGGGAGCGCAGCGATCTTGGTGCCAGGTTTCCAACCCGCTCTGAGATTCCCGCGCAGACTTTCAGATCCCCAGCCCTGTTGGCCCTAATCCCGGGCTGCCGGCCTCGCCACCCTCACTGTGGCGGGGACTCTGGGACGCATTCGGACCTCACCTGCAGCCAGCAGATGGGGACCGGGTCATCCAAAAGCCGCAGGTCGGCGTGGCGCGGAGCTGGAGCGCTCAGGAGCTGGAGCAGGAGCAGCAGCAGCTCCAGCCAGGACCCCGGAACCACGCGCGGCCGGCGAAACGGATCGCCCATGGCCCTGGCACAGTGGCCGGGGATCCGAGGCCACAAGTGGGGAACGGCTCCTCTCCCGGCCACGGAGCGGCCTAAGTCCAGGGTACTCCGCCAGCTTCCGGCTTCCAGCAAGGTCCAGGGGTTGTTGGGGAGCAGTCTCTCCCTAGGCTCCCCCTTCCCGGGTCTCCCAGGTGCACCCCCTCCGCGTCCACCGCACCCACTTGCAGCGAGAGCCCCGCTGCCCCGCGTGCAGTGCCCAGTCAGCAGAGCCAGCCAGGGAGCGGTCGTTTGCGCTCCAGCCTTGGCTGGCTCCCAGAAGTAATCTCTGTCAAGTGTTCAAAGTGGATTTTAATCCTCCCGCTGCCCCTCTGCCGTCGCTCAGGTCCAGACTTCCTTCTCTAGTCACTTCCCAACTCGGGACTCGGGGAAGTCCGTTTTCTTAACACCAGTCCCTTTCCATCCTTCCCCTCCCCACTCTATTTTCTCACTCTACAGTATCAAGTTTTTCTTTCTCTTTCAAAAGTCTGGGAGGAACTACTCTAGGATGGGGAAGGAGGAGGGAGCAGTCTTTTCCTAGCCTGCTGGAAGGCAGGTTCCTAATCTCCTACCGCTGTGCCCTCAAGTGTGCTGCATATTGTCAATCAGGACTGTCCGTCAGCTAATTACATCTACAGGGGCTACTCTGCAGAAGAAGGGATCTGTCCACAATAAATACACCATAAATTGAGAACGTCCTAAACGTTATTCATTGTTTTTTATTTGTTTATTTGATTCTATTTTATTTTGATTCTGGGGTCAGAACCCAGGGCCTTATGCATCCTAAGCACACTCCCTACCACTGAGCTGCCCCAGCCTCTTGGCTATTCATTCCTAAAGGAAGTTGGATTAGAAGACCACTTCTGCAGTCCTACTGTTCCTTGAAGCTTGGTCCTTGACCCTAATGCCAAATCATGTCAATTTAATAATGAAGACATGGTTTTGAGAAAAGGAAAGAGAAGGTTTATTGCTTTGCTAGCAAAGGAGAATCACCAGAGACTCATTCTGGGTTCTGCTGTGGGGAAAACAGAGGGCTTTGGAAGAAGCTTTTCCAAGACTGCATTTCAGATGTGCCTGGCAGGATCTCCCAGGTGTTCCCTGAGGTGTGTTGAAATTCACTTGTTAATTTGGGACATAGTCACTTCCTAGATCTTCCAGTGACATCTCCTTCCTGTGGAGGACTGATAACTCAAGGTAACCTTTTCTTTGCAGGTAGGTTAGGGAAGCAGAGAGGGGAAAAGAGGAAAAGAAAAACATGTCCCTTTTAAAATAAGCAGCAAGGGCTATATTCAAAAGGTGAAGTGGGCTTTTGTTACACCATCTCCTGGGTCTGTAACTTGAACTGATCCAGGGCCTGCCTCCAAGAGGAAAAACTACCTGGACCAAAGACCTGCTGTGGGTGGGGTGTGGGTGTGAGTCTTAACAGCTTGGTCTGGTTTTGCTTTTCACAGCTGGAGGAAAAAATGTTGGTCTTGTGTAGTTAGTTGAAAGCAGCGATTCCCAAAGCTGTTCCCTGGACCACCAGCAACCCTTGGGAACTTGATAGAAATGCGTGTTCTCTGGCCCCATCCCAGACCTCCTGAACCAAAATCTCTGAGGGTGGGGCCCAGCAGTTGGTGTTTAAGGACCCTCTGTATGACCTGATACAGGTGCTAGTTTGAAAAACCACTGGTTTAAATCTGCAGATGATTGCTTTAAAACAAATTAGATCTGCCAAAGACATAAGCACCGAAGGCAGAGCCCCCCTCAATGTTAAGTGAGGACCCCAAACTTGGCTGCTATGTGGAGGGCGAGGACCTGGTGCCTTGATCTACTTAGAAGCAAAGGACGCCCCAGCCCCCTCCACCAGGTCATTAGAATGGGGTTGGAGCCCTTGCAGTGACGCACTCCTGTAGTCCCTGCTACTCTGGAGGCGGAGGTGGAGCATCACCTAGCCCAGGAGTGTGGGGGCAGCCTGGGCAATGCAGCAAGGCCCTATCTCTCAAAATTTTTTTTAAAAAGGAGTTGGATTCTATATCTGTACTATCTGGAAGGTAGCTCAGTACAGACACATCTCACTGCAGACCCAGGGTGAGAGGGACCTCTAGCTCTCCCTCTGCTCTTATGTGCTTCAGAACATTCTCCACAGAGACCTCCCACTATGCCTTGTAAGAGGAAGAGTCAGTGAACAGTATGTAGCTGCCTCTTGTGTTCCGGGTCCAATGGCCTCAAGCCCTCCAGCTCAGGTCACTTACACCCACTGTTCAGGAATTCCAGAGAGCTGATGGGAGGGGAGGACTGCTCCCACTGTCCACCAGATGTTCTGCAGGGGCTTTTGTTTTGTTTTGTTCGGGTGCCAGGGGTGGAACCCAGGGCCTTGTGCATGCTGAGCTCTGAGCTCCTGCTCTACCACTGAGCCACACCCCAGCCTCTGCCCTCCTCCTCTGCATTTGACAATGCTCTCTACTGATGAGGCCAGCCTAGGTTTTTTAAAACAGGCAGGAAAGACCAGAGAAAAACAGAGGAAGATACTGTGCCTCCAGTTTCAGATTCTGCTGTGGTGGTTGTTTTATTCCTACTTCTGACTGGTTTGGGGGGAAGGTAGGGGTGGGATCCTATGGCCCAGATGGACGACAGGTGTGTGTGACCCCCCCAACCTCCCCTCCTCCCTTCTCTTCAGTGGCGTTTCGCCTTCAGCCACTTTGTGGTAGAACCCAGCCAGGAGTACGAGGTGACTGTTCACCACCTGCCCAAGCCCATCCCTGACGGGGACCCAAACCACCTGTCCAAGAAGCTCCTTGTGCCAGGTAAGAGCCTCCTCCTAAGCCATTTCCTCCATCACTCAACTCTGGGATGAGAAGCTGGCAGCAGGGGCAGACAGCAGCCTCCCTGCTGCGCTTACTGCCAGCATGTGGTACCCACAGAAAGAATAGGCGCCCGGGTCTGGGAGCTCCTCAGCATGAGGCTCAGCCTCCACCCCCTGAAGGCAGCCCCTTCTTAATTGGCCACCACTGGACATGGGCCCAGGATCCCAGGAGTGTGATGGGAATAAGAGCCCTTCCCTCTATCCAGAGAACTAGCTCGAGCCCAGAAAACGTCAGGAGGATAAGACACGCTGGAAAGAGTGGTGGCTCCTGCTCTCAGCCTAGTTCCAGTCACATTCTTCATTCCCGCCCCCCACACATACCCTGTCTGACCCACACCCATCTCCATTATCCCACTTTCTTCTCTCCCCTCACTGACCCATCCTGCCTGGGATCCTCCCAAGTCTATCTTCTAAAGCATCCTGGACACCTTCTATCTATGTCACCTTCTATACCTCTGTCCTCCCCTGAATCTCAGCCATTTCCTACATTTCTTGTTCAAAGCCAGGTACATCTAGAACCTCAGCCCACTGGGGACAAGGTCTGAGTCTTCCACACTTCTGTACTGTTCAGAACCTCATAAATCTCTTTGTTTATGTAGCTGGCTAGGAAATGCTTGTTGGTTTTTGATGCTGAGGATCTAAGCCAGGGCCCTGGGTGTGCTAGGCAAGCACAGCCCACAGCACTCCTCCCCCAGCCCAGAAAATGCCTGAAGGTGGTGATGACCCTCTTTTTACAAACACACACACATACCCCAGTGAATCAATGATAGTCATTGTCCTCTGACATTGTCCTCATACATGCTCTTGGTTTGCTCTTAGTGGGCTTTTCTTCTTCAGAGGGCAGAGACTTTGTCTTACCCACCACAGTGTGTGTGTTCAGTGCCCAGTGCCCAGGACAGTGCAGGGCCTATAATAGACACAATGGGTCTTTGTTGAGTGAGTAAATCTCCCCACCCCGTCTCCTGTTCCTAAAGTAGACTGACTCATCCTGTCCCTCTAAGGTAGTTCAAACTTGCCACGTGTCTTTTTAAACCAAAGTAAAAGATGATAATCAAGGAGATTGGAGAAGACGGATGCTTTAGTCAGCTTTTTTGCCACTCTGACTAAAAGACCTGACAAAAACAATGTAGAGGAGGAAAAGTTTATTTGGGGGCTCACAGTTTAAGAGATTCCATCCATAGATGGATGACTGCATTCCTCAGGGCCCAAGGTAAGGCAGGACATCATGGCAAAGAGTACGACAAAGGAAAGTAGCTAGACACATGGTACCCAGGAAGCAGAGAGAGGTCTCCTCATGACAAAATATAACCACAAAGATATACCCCCAATGCCCCACTCCTCTAGCCACACCCTGATTTTGGTTCCCATTCCGTTAATCCTTATGGGGAAGGAGGGGATTGATTCACTGATTGGGTTAAGGCTCTCATAGCACAATAATTTCACCTCTTAATCTTCTTGTATTGTCTCACACATGACTTTTAGGGGACACCTCATATCTAAACCATAATAAGGGACCAAGAATATCACTCTTGGGGACTGGGGTTTTGGCTCAGAGGTAGAGCACTCGCCTAGCATGCATGAGGCACTGGGTTCAGCACCACATAAAAATAAAACAAAGGTATTGTGTCTACCTACAACTAAAAAATAAATGTTTAAAAAAAAAAAGAATATCACTGTTGGGCAGTGGTCCTCAGTGTGATCTGTGGACCAGCAGCATCAACAGATCGTCTGGGAATTTGTTAGAAATGCAGATTCTCAGCACCCACACAGATCTGCTGGGTGAGGAACTAGTGATGATGATGTCCACAAAAGTTTGAGAATCTTCTGTGGGGACCAAAGTACTTCTCAGCCTATAAAAAGGCAGAGGCATCTGTGGGCCAGGAAGCTCCGGGTGGGGAGAGAAGGAACTGGAAGGAGCAAGACTGTGGCTACCCAGAGTGAGCTCAGGAGGCATATACTAGAATCAGGAAGGTTCTCTGAGAGAGAAGGGCTGAGATGGACAAGTCACTGCCAATACACTGGATCTTTGGTTAGTGGCAGCAGTCCAGTCCTGGAGCTTGCTATAAAAGGACTGTCTTTGAACAGTCTTCCCAAGGAACATGATTTGGGCTGCTGTTGCCCAGAGTCTGGAAGAGCAGACTTCCTAAGGCAGAGGCTTAATTGGTTTTCTTTCGGGTCGGCAGATTGTGAGGACTCCAGGATGAAGATAACCATGCCATGTGTGCGCTCAGGTAACTGGCTGGCCTGGGAGAACTGTACCCAATGTGGACACATGCACGTGCACACACGTGGGCGTGCACACCGCTTTTCACTCCCAGCCCACATCTGTGCCCCTGACAGGCAGCCTGTGGGACCCCAACATCACCGTGGAAACCCTGGAGGCCCACCAGCTGCAGGTGAGCTTCACGCTGTGGAACGAATCCTCCCATTACCAGATCCTGCTCAACAGTTTTCCACACATGGAGAACCACAGCTGCTTCGAGCACATACAGCGGATACCTGCGGTAATGGTCACCCTTCTGACATAGCTCCAGAGCCCAACACTGCCGAGTCAGGAGTGGCCTGGGCGCCCAGCAAGCTGTAGAGTTGGTCTTTCTTTCCATAGTTTGGCTGATGAAATAGAGTCAATTCTGCCCTGCCCCCTACCCGTCCTTTTTGTTCTTCCCATTGTTTTTTTGTTCCCCCATTCTCCCCTTATTCTCTATTTTACAGTTTTTATTCTACTTGATTCCAAAAAGGATTTATATGTGTGTACACACACACACACACACACACACACACACACACACTGGGGATTAAACCCAGAGGCATTTCACCACTGAGCCACATCCCCAGCCCTTTTTAATTTTGAGACAGGGTCTTGCTAAGTTGCTTAGGTCCTTGCTAAGTTGTAAAAGCTGGCCCTGAACTTGAAGTCCTCCTGCTTCCTGTGTTGCTGAGACTACCTCAGTGACTGGGTATGAGCCACTGAGCCCAACTCCAAAAAGGATTGAAGATTAAAAAAGAAGAAGAAATAAGGGGATTAAGACAAAGGGGTCCTACAGACAAGAAGTAAGATGAAGCCAGGTTAGTGCAGAAAAGATGTGCTGTGTGGTCTGTCCCCTTGCTGGGTGTGAACACAGATCTGTCCTACAGTCCCCAGCAGCCACGCAGAGGGGGAAATACCAGTCACTACTGTCTTTATCAGTTGACAGCAAACCACTCGCCCTGCAGAATGGTCAATTTTTCTGGAACAGAAATCTGAAAAGCGTTTCCCCCTCTGGCCTTCCTGAGAAGTGCACTTGGTCCATGAGGGTGATGTCCCCAAGCTTCTTGGGGGTGTGATGCAGCAAGTTCTTATCCAACTGGCCTTTTTTGTCCTCCTCTCTGCAGCCCAAACAAGAGGAATTCCACCAGCGAGCCAACCTCACTCTCCCGCTACACAGCTCTAACTGGTGCTGTCGCCACCGAGTACAGGTGGGTGGGCGTGATGCACACAGGTGTGGGAGAGTGTGCACAGGGGGCAAGGTAAGCAAGGGCAGCTGTGGGCCTGCGCTGTATCGGGCCCCAGCGCCGCTCTGTCACCAGCCTGCCTTTCAGCTGCCCCGTTCTCCCAACCCCACCTGGGCAGGGGACCTTTGACCCACTGCACAGATAGGAGATCGGGTTCAGCAGCCCCTGGAAAGATCTTTGGGCTTCTTGATGGAGTGTTTTAACGTTGCCTAGGCTGGACTCAAAGTCCTGGGCTCAGATGATCCTCCTGCCTCAGACTCCTGAGTAGCTGGCGCTACACACAAGCGCCAACATGCCCAGCTCAACAGCCACATGGAGATCTGGCCTAGCCACCAGGGTCCATTACTTGCAAATAGCCCCTGCGGTTGAGAAAGCGTGGGGATGGGTGTATGTTGCCACCTCTCAGAGGCCCTCTTGCAGTTCTTCCTCTTCTCTCCCAGGTCCAGCCCTTCTTCAACAGCTGCCTTAATGACTGCCTTAGACACACTGTGACCATCCCCTGCCCAGACGTTCCAGAGCCTTCAGGTAGGAGGGACACCTCTGCCCTGGGTTGTGTCTGTCTGGGGTGAGGTTGGGTGAAGGTCATGCCCTGGAGCTGAGTCCTGACCTGGTCCTAGGTGTGGCGGAGAGGTGGGGAGGGTGACTTAATTTGAGGACACTCTCCTGAGCTACACTCCCCACAGCCCTTCATAAGCCATGTGGCCTTGGGTAGAGTTTGTGGCTTCCTTGCCCTTAACTTCCTGGACTGAAGATGAGGTTGTTACTAGCACATGGTTAGAGTTAGGCACCAGTAACATGGAAGTGCTTTACTTCTTACAAACTGCTAGTCACAGTGTGGTGAAGTTGAGACTCCCCACCCCAGGCTCACAGATGAGGAAACTGAGGCACAGAGATGTTAAATAGTTTGTTCCAGATCACATGCTAAGGTAGTGGAGAGCCCCAGCTTCCTACCTGAGCCAGTTGCCTACTTCTCCTTCAGAAGCCATGGGTCCCCAACTCCCACGAGGCCATCGCCACATGCCAGCTGCACAACAGCAGACATGGCACAGGCTGGAAGAGACCCGGCCTCCCGGGAGGGAGGTGAGGCCCCTCTTCTTAGACCAACAACTGAGGGTGCTTCCTGTAGGTGGCTGCATTAAGTTTGACCCATATCCAAAGTATTGGGCATAGGGTTAGGGTTAGGCCCTCCATGGACATCAGTGATGGGTTTTGTAATTACTGCTAATAATTAAGAACACTCTCTTCTCTTTTTCCTTTTGTTCTAATTGCAGTCACAATTGCAGGTAAGCTCAGACCCTTCCCACATTCCCCAGGGATCAGAGGGGTTCCTGACTGAGCCTTGCACCCAGCCAGGCAGACAAGGCTGAACCTGAGGCTCGGTGTGTCCTGGTGCAGGCCAGAGAGGACAGAGCCAGGGACTGGGGAATGGCGCTGGGACCCTTGCTGTCACTCACGCTGTTCTGCTCACCACAGAGTATATACCCCTGTGGGTGTATGGCTTCATCACGGGCATCTCTATCCTGCTGGTGGGCTCCATCATCCTGAAGACCAAATGCACAACTTGGGGGCAACATGGTAAGTGTCAGAGGCTCTGGGGCTGGCGGGGGCTTCCCCTTTGATGCTCACTTCTCCCCGGTGTCGTTCCTTCTCCTTCCGGCATCAGCCTCACCCCTAGACCTTCTCTGTAAATCTGTGCTCACAGGACGCCCTTCAATCCAGCTCTGTAATCTCAATCTCAGTAACTATAGTTGCCTCTCTTAGACCACCGTGGTCAGGAACCTAGAATGAGGTGTCTGGCTGAACCTGGACACAAAGCCCAGCTTCACCACTGTCTGGGAAGATCACTTGACTCTCTGTGCCTCAGGTTCCTCTTTTATAAAATGACAATGCTAACGATACCCACATCGTCAGGCTCCTAAAATGATTAAGTGGAATAATGCACACAGATTCTTAGCTCAGAACCTGGCACATGATATTTACTTAAGAGCTATTAGCCAGTTATATCATTATTAAAAATAGTATTATTGAAAAATCATTGGGTTTGAAGAAACTAGAGAAGATTCCCCTGCATCAGGATTGATCCACCAGGCAGATGGAACAGCAGAACGACCCCATCCTGTGGCCCTCAGACTTGTGTGTGTATGGTCAGGGAGAATAACACAGCACGGCAGCATGTGATAGACAAGTCTCAGTCTCTGGACCCTGGACCCACAGCTGCAGACCCTGCTGTACTCACCAGCTTTGCAGTTATAGGCAAGTTACTTAACAAATTTTTGGTTCCATTTTCTTTTCTATAGAATGAGATAGTAATGCCTCTCCCAGGGCTTTGTTGGGATTAAATGAGATACCAAGAAAGGTACCTGCTGGTGGGCATCAGTACATAGCAGTTCCTTCTCCCTCTGCACTCCTCTGCTGGTCAAATGCTAGTCAAGGAGAACATGTGGCATAGGTTAGGAGACTCAGTTGTTCCCTGCCCCACTGTGACTCTAGGCTGTCTCTTCTGTCATCTGGGAAGTTGTTTCACACTTGTGAGGCAAGCTCCCTACCACTGAGCTACACCCCAGCCCCTTGGTTTGGTTTTAATTCAAAGAGGAGACACATACTTCAAGTGTCTGAACTATCCCACCAGCTGCTATGGCATTTGTGACTTTCCTGAATTGCCGTCTATCCCAGGAAAATCCTCAGTAGTTATCAGAGTGTCTTCTGGTAGTTCTGATATGAATCCCCAGGAGTGAGGATTAAAATTAAAATCTAAATTTCTAGCTTGGGAACTGAAGTGTAGCTCAATGGTAGAGTGCTTTCCTAGCTATGCAAGGCTAGGAAAAACAAACAAACAAACAAACAAACAAACTGTGATAGATGCATGGGTTACGTCAGATGTATGCTGTGGTTCCTGAGTCCCTTCAAGAGACCCACATTTTGGACCTACCTTCCACCACTCCACATAGAGGGCTTTTCGGGCCACCCAAAAAGAAAGTTCTGGTATACCATGTTTTCAATCAGACAAGGAAAGGATGTTGAATGTATTGCATTCTGTGAAAAAAAAAAAAAAAAAGGTCCTTCCCTGAGCAGACACCTCTATTCCATAGCCAAGTCTTTGTGCCCCTTTTTTCCAATTAAAATGTTTAAAGGATCAACTTAAAGGCAGATAGGATGGTGAGAGAGAGAGAGACACCAAGCTGGTTTTTTTCAGGCATCCCAAACAAGCAACATTTGGCTTATCCCCAATGGCTTGTCCTCAACGGCCTAAGAAATGGTGGCATTTATTAGGGAGTCAAGCTCTGCACTGGGTGCAGGTCCCTCACAGACTGGCCAGCGGGGGCTGCACCTGGAGTCTGGTGTGGGGATCAAGCATGTGGCCTGGCTTCTCTTGTCTTCCCTAGATGTCCCTGCCGATGAACTGACCCTCCCAACCCCTGATTCCTGGGAAAGTCTGGCGCATCCGAGGAGCTCACCACCCACGCTCCGTGACCGTGCTCCTAGAGGTCACCGTTTCTACTAGCTCCCCTAGCCCACTTGACCCTCCTGGCTCACCCAACTCACCGCCTGGCCCACCACTTCAAATCTTCAGCTTAATTTTGCTGGACATACTATTTTTGGTTCACATCCATTTTCTTCCAGAGCTTGGTAGGTATTACTTCAGGACCTCCTAGCTTTTAGGATCAATGTCCCTGACCTTGGATGAAAAATCAGCCAAGATCCAGATTGGTTTACCTCTAAAGTGGTTTACCTCTAAATTTATATCTAAATGCCACCTGCACCTCAGGGCATTATTTTCCAGGATATGCAAAAAAAAAAAAAAATCAAGAAATTTAACACCAAAAAACGAAAAAACTCCATCAAGAAATGGACAAAGGAACTAAACAGACACTTCACAATGACCTGTGAAATATGAATGATCAACAAATATATTAAAAAGTGTTCAACATCTCTAGCAATTAGAGAAATGCAAACTAAAATGGAAGTGGTTTCATCCCACTCCAGTCAGAATGGCCATTATCAAGAATACAAGCAACAGTAAATGTTGACAAGGACGTGGAAGAAAAAGGATACACTCATACATTGTTGATGGGACTGCAAATTAATACAATCACCCTAGAAAGTGGTATAGAGATTCCTCAAAAACTAGAAATGGAACCACCGTATAACCCAGCTATCCCAATCCTAGGTATATATTTCAATGGATTTAAAATAAGCACACTACAGTGTTGTAGCCATATCAATATTTATAGCAGCACAATTCACAATAGCTAAGCTATAGAACCAACCTAGGTGCACTTCAACAGAAGAATGGATAAAGACATTTTGGCCTATATACACAAGTGAAATATTACTCAGCCATAAAGAATGGCTTTATGACATTTGTCAGTTAACAGATGGATCTGAAGACCATCATGCTAAGTGAAATAAGCCAATTCCTAAAAACCACAGGTCAAATGTTTTCACTAATATGTGGAAGCTAAACCACAATAAAGGGGTGGGGGAAGATGAGAAGTTCACTAGATTAGACAAAGAGGAAATGAAGGAAAAGGAGTGGGGATAGGAATAGGAAAAACAGAATGTATCTAACATAATTTTCCTATATATCCATATGAAAATATCTAAGTGAATCCCACCATTACGCCCATCCACAAGAATGAGGTCCTAATTAGAATAAGATATTCCATGCTTCTATAATTTTATCAAAATGGAGTCTACTGTCATGTATAACTGAAAAGAACCAATAAAAAAGCTGAGAAAACAAATTAACAAAGTTCTCTGTTTCTGATCAGCCCCTGTGGTGCTGAAATGTCCCTCAACCTCCTGGAAAAACAGGTCATCTCAGAAGTAGGGGTCAGGACCTTGGTGGGCAACCAGAAGCAGGAAGTGGTAAACATCTCCAAGTCATCATCCTGCCTGCCATGGTGATGCATGCTGATAATCCCAGCTGCTCAGGAGGCTGAGGGAGGATGAGCCCACCACCCCGCCCACTGGGGACCTTTTCACCGAGGCCATGAACATGATCCTGCCAGACTTCAAGAAGCCAGCCTGCTTTGGCACCTACATCGTCTGCTACTTCACTGGCATCAGCAGTGAGAGCGATATCCCCGACCTCTTCCACATCACCTCCAGGTACCCCCTTATGGACAAGCTAGAGGAGGTTTACTTCCGGATCCAGGACCTGGAGATGTTTGAACCTGGCCGGATGCACCGGCTCCAGGAGCTCACAGGGGAAAACTACCTGCAGAGCCCCAGCGGCCGGCAGCTCAAGGAGGCCATGGAGAAGTTCCGGGAGTGGCAGACCCAGTGCCCTGACTGGTTTGAACGTGAGAACCTTTGCTCCACGGATGACCAGAACCTCCCATCCCTGGACGAAGAAGTGTTTGAGGAGCCACTGCTGCCGCCGGGGAGCGGGATAGTCAGGCAGCAGCCCCTGGTGTGGGAACCTGCCTCCAAGGGCTGCCTGAGGGTAGATTTATGTGTGGGCGAGGAAGGAAGGGGGATGTCGAGGGTGGCACCCCAATTGCAGCCCCAGGGGGAGGCCATCCAAACCGTGGTGCTCCCCAGAGAGCAGGTCCCTGCTGCTTGTGCCGTGGAGCTGGTTCCTCTGGCTGACAGCAGCGTGGCCAGCTGGCTGACCTGGGTGGAGGAGGGCAAGGCCTGCCCCCTGCTGGAGGATCGTGGCCTCCAGAGAAAGAACCTCCTCTTCCTCCCCGGGGACCCTGAGGACTCGCCTCTCTGCAGCACTCCAGTGGCTTCACCTGGCCACCTCCCCGATGGTATGAGGGAGCAGCTGGGGGGGCTGGATGCTCTCACTTCTGCAGCAGAGTCTGAAGAGCCAGGCCCAGGGTGCATGGGAAGACCCTGCCCTGGTGCTCAAGGACCCCTCCATACCCTGTGAGGAGGAGCAGCGGCAGTCTGTGCAGTCGGACCAGGGCTACATCTCCAGGAGCTCCCCACAGCCCCCTGATGGGCTTGGGGAAATGGAGGAGGAAGAGGAAGAACAGGACCTAGGGAAGTCAGCTGAGCAGCTGTCTCCTGAGCTTCTGCAGGACCTGAGGAGCCTCCAGCAGCAGCTTTTCTTCCAAGATCTCCAAAAGAACTCTGGCTGGGACAGTGTGGAGTCAGAGAGGCCGGCTACAGAATAGCAGGCCGCTTCCTAGAGCCTCCCTGGTCCAGACCCTCCATAGGGTATTCATGTGCATGTGGGTGTACATATGTATGTGTGTGTGTGTGTGTGTGAGAGAGAGAGAGAGAAAGAGAGAGAGAGAGAGAGAGAGAGAAGCATCTGCTTTTTTTAAGAGACAGAGAGAATTTTTAATATTTATTTTTAGTTCTCTGCAGACACAACATCTTTCTTTGTACGTGGTGCTGAGGATTGAACCCGGGCCGCACACATGCCAGGCGAGCGTTCTACCGCTTGAGCCACATCCCCAGCCCAAGCATCTGCTTTTAAAATGTAGATGTCTTATCAGGCATGGTGGCATGTCCCTATGGTCCTAGTTACTTGGGAGGCTGAGATGGGAGGATTAGTTGAGCCTAGAAATTCAGGACCAACCTGTGTGACAGCAAGATCCTGTCTCAAAAATAAATTAAGGAAAATAAAACGTACACATCCTGATTCTGATCCCAGTACCCCTCCTTAACTTTTCTTTATGTGACCATCTTGTATCCCCACAAGAAGTCACAACCCATTCCCAGGAATTCATGGATGAGTCATTCATTGATTCATTCAGCATTTATTTGGCACCTACTGTGTGCCAGGCATTTGGGATAAAATAGTATATTGCACATGCAGAGGCCTTGGCCACCAAGGAGCTTAACATCTAGTGAGAACCAAAAATTAGCAAGCATGGAATGAGGATGAAGGAACAAGGTGTAAAGACTGAAGAAAGGCCTGGCAGGGCCCTGGCCCAGGGAGAAGCTGGTTTGGGGGAATGTCACAGTCCCAGGGAAGGGAGAGCCTGGGGGGGGGTGAGTGCTGGTGGGGGGAGGCAGGAGAGATGTGGATGGGGAGGAAGCCAGAGCTCGGGGTAGGGAGAACCTTGTAGGCCAGGCTGGGAGCTGGGACAGCAGCGCTGGGGACGCCTTTCATGAAAGATGAGCTGGTGCTCTGGAGGGGAGGGGACTGTGTGCCAGACGTGCCTAGAAGTCACCTCAGATCAGTTTTAAAAGCAGACAGGATAGAGCGTGTGATGTGAAACCCAACAGCATTCAGCAGGGAGAAGAGTCTGGAATCCTGAGCTCTCTGACTGGCCACCTGTCAGAGGAGGGCTGTGGCCCAGCATTTCTCAGGGCTGCCTGCCTGGACCCTGGGGCTGAAGCCCTGAGCTCAGGAAGCACTGGGCAGGGGGGCAGAGTGAGGTGCCGTGTGGGGCGGGGAAGGAAGGCAGTGGAGATCCAGGCAGGCCCTTTGGGGACAGGGAACACGTGCGGCTGTGTATCTGAAGGACTGAGGTTCAAGACAACATTTGGAGAGATTCAGGCCCCAGTTTGAAAGCAGTTTTCCTCAAGCGCCTCCTTGGGGTAGATGGGAACTGAAGAACACACAGGATGCCTCCGACCCTGGCCTCGAGTGCTGTCCACTCTGGGCGTCAGACTGTCATGTCTTCCCAGCTTCAGCGCGGAGAGGACTCTGATAGGACAGGAAGCCAAGGTCACAAGGCGTGTGTGCCTGGGCCTGCGCATGCATGAAATAGATTCAATAAAATGTTGTTAACTCTGCCAAGAATTCCCACTGGTTATTTTGAGTCACATGTTATTATAGGCCTAGAAATTCCTAGTTGAACTGATCTTTCTTGCAAATAGAGTTTGCCTAGCAGCAGCACAATAAATTCCAAAGTATGCCCCATACTCAGTTCGACAGCCTCAAAGGACCAGATGAGGGAGATGAGCCTGCCGCAGTCTGGCTGGGCACAATTCAGGAGCCACTTGTCAAAAAGAAACTAACTTTATTTTTAGAACTATAAACGCCAAACAAAACAGCTCCAGGGAAAAAACCCTCAGAGCCCAACTGCCACCACCGGCTTCCACAAGCCTCTCCTCCACACACCAGCCTCTCAACCTCCCACACTCCTCCTGCTCTTGAGGCCGATTGGCTGGGTTGCGTGGGCAGAGCCAAAGAAGTCACCCAATGAGCAGCTCCGTGGAGGAGCCAATCAGCTAGATGTTGCTGGGGCCGCTGTGAGCCAATCATCAGCTGGCAGTCTGAAGGGCAGGGAAACAGCCCAATGAACATCACCGCAGAGGAGCCAATCAGCTAGATGTTGCTGGGGCCACTGTGAGCCAATCATCAGCCGGCAACTGGAAGTTTGCTGGCAGCTGGATCATCAGCCGGCAGCTGGAAGTTTGCTGGGGCCCCTTTGGCTGTGGCTCTCAACATGAGCCCCTTCCAGCCACCAGCCTTTCAGGCTCCACCTCTCCTCTCTAGCAATCCTGGTAGTGAACATTATTGCGCCCAAAGGCCAATTAACTTTCCTGTGACATTTCCCCAGTTTCTGATAAATACAAACTAGATGTCTCGAGTGCAGGACACCATAGCGACTTTGCTCTTAAAAAGGCTTTGTTCAGTCACTTAAACATCATCTGGCAGTCTGAAACCAGGGCTCTGCTTGACAGCAAATTGGCCCAAAGCTACTGCATTGCTGGTTCCCTGAAGCAAACTTTCCATCTTGATCATAAACCTTGAAGTTCTAGCTGTTCTTAGAGGCCATGTCAATTAATATCCTCAGTTGTCATTGTCCCATGCATACCCTTTATCTCCATAGTGACTGATTTTTTTTCTCTGACACTTTTTAAATACAAATTCTTTTAATAAAATGTATCAATGACAACTTCATGTTCAAATATAATGTTAAAAATTATGCAAGAGCATTTTATTATAATTACCAAGAAAAATTTGAGACTGCCAGTCTCTCTGCAGAAATGCTACGCACAGCTGCAAAATGATTGAAGACTGGTATAATTATGAATCTTAGGTAAGTACAAAAGCCATCGTGAGCTTCCCTGTGTGTACAACATTATCTTCAATCCACTGCTCAAAATCAACTGGCTCTTTATATGTGCTCTTTTCAATCTTCAAGGTCCACACTAAGTAACTTTGGATTATAAACTTTTCAATCTTTATGTATTTGTAAAACAGAAAACTGGGAAACATCCTGTGGTGGTCCAATATGTTTCTGGATTCCGAAATAATATTTTTCATCATTTGATGTAACAAAAATCCCTTCGGCCCCTTCAGAGCTCCAACAGAGATCAATTTTCTCATCTTCAAGTGTTTAGCCTCCCCTCTTCTGGCCAACTGCCCTGCCAACCTACTCACCTGGGCCTCAGGGTAGCTCCAGGCACATGGGCCATCCTGCTCTTTCCCCAATATGTTTATTGAGCTATAATTCACATATCACACGTTACAATTGACCCTTCACAACTCAGTGACTTTTAGTATATTAAGAGATTGGCCACCACCAACACAATCACTTTTAGAAGATTTTTATTACCCAAAGTAAAACCAGCATCCCTGGGTTTTGGAGTGATGCTGGAACACAGGGTCTCCATTCATGCCAGGCCAATGCTCTACCACTCAATGACATCCTCAGCCCTAGGTCTTTGTTTAGTCACTTAAACATCATCTGGCAATCTGACCAGAGATCCCTGAAAGCAAATATAACAAATTTTACTTGGTTTCTGCTTAATTTTTACAGTTAAATAGGGCATAAGAGTGAATATGATGTAGTTAGGATGCAGTGGGTGGTTTTGATTCTGTAGTGTGTAGACTTTGAAGTTAGGGTCTTCCCATCCTAAGTAAATCAGGAGCCTTTGAGGCCCTGTCCTTCCCTAGTACTTCCTGAGATGGCCTGCCAGTTGAGGGCCACCAGACACATGAGCTCTAGGCCAGGTAGGAGATCTAGAGTCCAAGAGAACTGCAGGCCAGGCTCTGAGTCTAGGTGTGCTGGGAGGTGGCAGTTACCACAGGCATGTCGCTCTTCAGCTGAGTGACCAATTAAGCCATCTTCCTCAGGCCTCAGGTCACCCTAAATTGGGGATGGCAGGAGTTTGTATCTCACCTGGTCTTATGAGGAGTCCATGAAATCCACGAGAGGCACTGAAGTGTCCCACACCCAGAAAGCACCCGATCCATGTTAGCCACACCTGGGTCAGTATACCCCTGCCTCTGCAGGAAGCCAAATGGCTCCTGGGTTCTCTGAACCCTGACCTGATCCTGGGGCAGAGCAGCTTGTGACCTTGGGTGCTGATTGGCTGCTTCTCCTGCTGTTATTTATTGCTTCTTCCCTCTAGTGTTTGCTTTTCCAAATTATAAAAGTAATCTATGCTCCAATTCTTGGTATATGTTAGGTGCTCAATAAATGTGTGAACTGAGTGAATATGTACATGTGGGAAAACGGCCACAACACAGAGCCTATAGATTATATTACAGAAGAATATAAAGCACCTCCCTCCACCCCAAATGTGCGCCCCCACTTCCCCCATCAAATCACTCCCAATGGCTCCCAGGGTCATCTGGCTTTAGGCCACTCCCCAGCTCTCCAGGCCTGGTGGCCTCCCCAGGTCCTGGCACTGGACCTCACTCTTGTCTATTTAGGGTGGTAAACACAGGTGGCCACCCAGTAGAGCCAGCCTTGTCCATTCATGGAACAGGGAGACCCCATCATGATGTGAAGGGTGACAAGAAGTTGTGTCCAACATGCCCCCACTCCCTGGTACCTAGATTCCTTTTGGAGGAGCAGCAGCCCCCCGGGTTGTGAACACTGCAGTAGGAACTAGCTCACTGGATCCTTCCAGATGTAATTGTGACAAGAGGAGGAGGGGAGGCAACTGGCCAGCCCCCGCCCTGAGCCCTCGCCTAACAGGGTGACCACTGGTTGGCTTTGCTCACCTCTTCCATGGGACTCACATAGAAACTGAAAAACAGCCCTGCTTTTTAGCCAGAACTGAGCTTCAGTGGAGGGAAAGGTGGACTGGAGGCTCCCAGGGTGCTGCAGATTCTGGAGGTGACAGACCTGGCTTCCCTTGCTGACTGCAGTGTGGCATCCACAAGCCTCCTCGTCTTCCCAGGTTGGTGGTAGTGGGGTTGGGGGCCCAAAACTTCCCCCGACCTCCTCATTGCAAGGGCCACAAAGTAGACACAAGGAAACAATATATCTTCCCCACCCCCGTTTCCTTCCCTCCCTCCATCTTCATCTGGAATAGACACATGAGGGGAAGAGTGGATTGGGGGTCAGTGGCCACTAACAACAGCCTAAAAGAGCCTGGTAAAGGCCCAAAGCACAGCACCCGCCCCCTACCTGGATAACCCCTTTCCTCCATTCTCTCCCACAATGGATGGGAATTTGGGTGAGGCGGGGAAAGCAGGAAGCATAGTCACCCAGTCCCGAGGAGGTCAGTATTGGGGTAGGATATGGAGAAGGAAGCACAGGGTAAGTGGCTCCACCTCCTGCTCAAAATGAGACCAAAAGCCCTATTGCACTGCGGCCTCTTGATAATCCCTTCACTCATTCTCTCTTCCTAAGCAGTCTACCACCACAGGCACCATTGTCTGGGACCAGGCCCCAGGCCCCAGCAGCTGCAGCCACCTTCTGAGCCTGGTGGACTTTCCCTCCTGGTGGTGAGCAGCCCCTCTCCATCTTCATGCTCAGGAAGGAACCTCTTCTTTCTTGGCTACCAAGACTTGGGGGCCTTGGAGGACTGTCAGGGTGTGTGGGGCCAGAAGTGGCTATGGTGCTCCACCCTCCACCTTCCTCCTGTCTTGGCCATCTCGGGAA